GGATATTACATTGGTAGAGCGTTGAGACAGATGGTAATAACACCCCCTGAATCGAAAACAAAGCCTGTATTAGTCAGTCTCATAAGGTTATACAGATCGAATCGAATGAGGTTAACAACAAATTTGTATTAGGCTCAAAGAGATCAAAATTTCATCCTATAACTTGTTACGATTCATATCACTTTTACATCGACATTGAATCGTTACGGCATGAATCAGGAAAATATTACAGAGAGATTAGCATATATATCGATTCGTGAAAGAGAGAGAGAAGGAGATCGTACCGATGAATCCGATGATAAAACGAACTTGTTTCCAATCAATCATTGCGAAATCGACCTAGCTAGAGAGAGAGATTGATGTAGACGAAGAGCATGAGAAGAAGACGAGCTTTTTCTTTCTTCGGCCAGATTTAGGGCTTTTCACACATAAATATGTTTTTCAATTTACTGATGTTAAAACATGACATTTAAAATGACATTTTTAAAACATTAATAATAGATTTTGTGGATAACTTAATACTGTATTATTAAAAGAATAAATAGAAATCATTTTGTTTAGGGAAGTAGGGTAAAATACTAAAATGTACGACATCGGTAACAGATAGGTCCTGTCGATGAAAAGTGAATAATATTATTCAACTTTTCTAGTGCCAATTTCACAAGTCAGAAGTTTTCTCATGAACTTTTACGATCGTTTCCTTCTTCATCATCTCCAGTCTCCTCTGATAAAAGTTCGAACCAACTTTAGACTCGTAAAATAACTTTCGACTCATAAATGAACCCACCCTTTGCAAAAAACCAAATTTTGAGGTGTTAGCCTCCACAATTCCAGAAATAATGTTCAGCTACTAAACTACAAGTCTACACAACTACACGACCTTTTGAAAACTCTTTCTTATATACCAACAGAATCATTTGTGTGATATTTTAAAAAAACTGGGCATATCATCAAGTCATCAACAACTAATTTATGCAGACGAAAGGTTCAAGCTTACTCTTTTGTTTCTCTATCGAAGTGAATTACTTTAACCACAAACCACTCATCCTTATCAGCAGTCTCAGGTGTAACTCTCGCACCAACCTGCATAAATCAGATGTACAGGAATAGGAATGAGTTTTTCCTATATGCATATATTAAGATTGCTTAGAACATCAATTAAGGGTAAAGAATGAAGGAATGAACCCTATGGAGCAGAACCTACTCTAGAGCTTCTTCTCCCCACAAGAACAGAGCCCATCCCTAAAGTGATGGAATGTGCTTGAATCCCTTACAGATATCTGCCTCTTTACAATCTTCGATATTAGTTTTATTGCGGCGTGGCAATCACAACGATAGGGCACCCTTCTGGTCTACTGATAAGAGCAAATGCAACAGCTACACGTTCACTGTGGAACTTAAGCGACTCAATCTTCATCTGCTCATCTTTTGTACTACCCAACTCGTGTCAGGCTTGTACCCTACTCTTTAAATCTTAGCTGTCAATTCATTGATCTTTCTCACGATCTCATGTCCTTTCGGGTGTGTCTGGTCATGCGATGAGAACACATGAATCTTGTGGTTCACTTCAACCCAGCTATAAGCTGGAAACTTTTTGCTGCCGCATTCGCACATCGCTTTCTTTACATGCCTAACACTCTCCCATTTCCTAGCGCTGCATATATATTGGATCCCTGAGCTTCTCCAGACTAAAGAGTTGTTCTGCTGCTCCCTCGGCAAGACCATATGATTTCATCTGGCTCAAAGGGCATTTCGTCCATCAGCTTCTCTGCTTCTGCAAATCTTCTGTTTCTGCCTAGCAAATCTAGCATGCACGCATAGGGTTTTCTTTTTGGAGTTATCCCATAGATCCGGGACATTGCTTGAAAATATCCCGCTCCTTGGTCAACAAATCCACAATGACTACATGCAGACAAGACGCCCAAGAACGCTGACTGAATCTGGCTGGAGTCTTGAATGAATAATCTTTGTAAATGCACCAGTTGCTGCTTCTCCATCTCAGTTATCAGCGTATGCTGAAATCAAAGCTTTCCAGGAAACTGCATTTCTGTCAATAAAGAAGCGAAACTAGCAGAAGCTCTCAATACAGTAGCAAAAAAATTTGTTTGGTCTGCTTGTAAATTTGCTCCTTGCATCTTGGTAAACAACTTTAGCCCAGCTCCGTGAAGCCCTTTCTGAACATAACGTGAGAGCAAGGCAGTCCATGAAACAGTGCTCTGTTGTGACAATCTCTTGAATATCAATTCAGCTTCCTCAAACACTCACTTCGCACTTACATATCTACAAAAGAATTCCCGACATGAGGGGTCGAATCAGCCATTGCCACGATGGCCTGGCAGTGCACTTGTCGACCAATCTGCAAGATAACACGTTAGCTACAATGCTCAACACCATCGGAAAAGGGAAGTTTCTCCTATCAAACCCCATGCACTGCATTTCTCTGTACAATTTCAAGGATTTCACGTATTGCTCAACTAGAGAATAGCTCGAATGACCACATTGTAAGAAACAAAATCCAACACAAGCATTTCATCAAAAGGATTCCTCGTTTCAAGAGCACGATCATGTTTGGAGTAGAACTTGATTCCCAGCAGACACATCCCTGGAAAAGCCGGTAGTAACTGCCAGACCATGGAGTTGATGTCCAAGAACAAAACCGTGTAGCCCAACAACTGCCTTGAGAAACCCCTGAAAATGTGAAATCTGAAGGCTTGTGAGAAAGAGATGAATCGCCTCTATGTACAAGCCATCCTTCTCATACCATGTAATAAGGGTGTTGAAACAAGACAGAGTCCTTGCCTTTGTTCTGCTCGAACACCACACATGCCACATCACGTCTCCCTATCTCAAAGTAAGACTTAACCAGGACATTGCAAACAGTGGGAAAAGGGTTCCTATCAAAGCCTAACTTCACGGAAAATACATGAACTTGACCAGCCGCATTCGAGTCATGGCAGTCTGGTACAAGCGTAGCAAAAGGTCACATGATCAGGCAGGGTACAACATCTGCACATCTCACGGAAAAGCATGAAAACTTGGTCGAACTGGTTGTTCTCGGCGTACCATTCCATCAAAATACTCCATGTCACAACAGTTCTATCCTAGCTCTTGGGCGCTAGAAAGATCACCCAACTAGACGTAACCAGAAATCAAATGATCGGTTACAGCTACTAGCGGATTAGAACTGATTGGTTCATAATTCTTTCATATATATATCAAAAGAAAGATAAATGAAAATTCCATCGAACCAAAGTATTTGCGATATCTCGTGTATGATGAAAGCATTTTCAGAACACACAAATAATTCAAAGGCCATAATCTACTGAACTTCAGATAGGCAACAGAATCCATTTGTGTGAAATTTTAAAAAATTGGGCTTGCTCTTTTCTTTCTCGATCGAAGTGAATTACTTTAACCACAACCTATTCATCCTTATCAGCATCGTCTGATGTAATTCTCGCAGCGACTTGCATAAATCAGGTGTGAGCATGGAACTGATCAAAATAAAGAAAGAGGATGCATAATAGTATTATTACCTATTCACCCGTTAGACTTGCATATGCCTCGATTTGATTTCTCATGAAAGGAGAAAGTCTTATTACATCTGAATCAACTCTCATCCTCTTCCTCTTCCGATCATTGCCTTCTGCCATTTACTGTAAAATCATTATAAGCATCGAAAAATTCTTCATTTCCTTTTGTGTGTCACATTGTGAGAGAACAACATTACAAAACATACAATCAATTTAACACATTGTGTACCTAATTTTCTTCGTTGTTGTCCGGTTGGTCCATATGGAAGCAAAGAATCCAACTGAGTAAGCAAAATGTTCTGATACGCTGCCTGTTAAACTCAAAATCAAATAATTAGTCCATAAATTCATTCGAAGTCTTCAACCTTTTTTTGTTCGTCATTGTAACAAGTATAGAGAAAATGGCGTACGTTACTTCGTTTTCGGAAAGCTCTTTTGCTTGAATGTACAATTTTTTAAGCTTTGAAAATGAAGTATCACCGGGCTTCTCAACTATCTCAGAAGCTGAATTAGAACATTAATTACATATCAAATCAGATAATGACCAAATAGATCATATACATAATTAATGGAAACAATCATCAGATAATAATCTATGGATCTCATCAAAGATTCCCTTCAAGAAGAGGTAAATACTGTTTTGGATCCTCATTATACAAAACAAATTAAGGGAAACACTCACTAGCTTGAAGCTTCTTATTGATCTCTAGCAAAACTACTTCTTGTTCTTTCCTTAACCGATCAAGCTCCTTCGTGTAATCTGGAATTCCGACTATGTCCGGTGACGATAATCGTCCTCCGATAAATTACCAAAATCGCCGAAATGAGCAGAGAAACAAACAACACAAACGGAAAGAAAACAAAGTCTTTAACTAGATTGTTCGAATCACGACAAGTTTCAATCTCTGCTGGTTCTAAGAATTTTCCTTAGATTTCAAGTTTTTCTTTTGGTTCGTTTGTGATATCAGGAACAGTACTACGTCGTTTGGGAAGAAAGCCATTTGTTTATTCGATAAAAGCCAAAGAAAGGAAGGGAAAAAAGGGAAGAAAGCCTGTGGGCTTATTGTCATTAGATCAAAAAGGGAGATTGRGCTTTAGCCCATAAAAGTTTATAAGGTTTTCGAGTCCTTTATTATATAAAGAGAGGGTGAGAATAACGTGGAAGATAAGAGGAGAAAACAGAGAGAAGAAGCTACGGTAAAGAGGCTTTAGGGTTTCAGTGTTTCTCAAGTTGAGTCTTCACGCTTTGGAGCTTGTCGTCACGTTATAGAGCTAAGGTATTTAGCTGGGAGCTTTCTTCTTATTGTACCTATATAAGAGAGAAAGAGATACGTGAGACAAAAGAGATCACCC